TGCCTTGACATTCAGCTCAGTGCTAACAACCTCATATCTGCTTTTGCACTGCAGAGTTTTTTAGGTGGCAGAGATGGAGCCATGACACCCACAAATCAGATTAGGTCATCTTGTCTCTGACTCTCCTAATCAGGTCCATCATTCCATCTGCTTCATTCCGACCTGAACCTACAGTTATACACCCAAAGCAACAGCCTTTACTGTTAAAAATAAATTTTAAGAAAGCCTGAGTCCTTAAAGAATTTATTAATGCAACATTTCATATTCCTGATTTGTGTATGTTGCATCAAGTACTTGTGTTAAAAAGTGTCTTGTTCTCTTTTTTGCATTTCTTCCATTGTGTGAAGTAACTGGTGTTCTTTCCAGTCTCCCTGCTTTCCGATTTCAAACTGACCACACTAGGCATTAGAGCACATCCATCCCAGTATGGGCAGTTTTCTGGCTGTGGGTGGAGAACAGCCTGCCTGTCCTCAAAATGATCAGACATGTGTTAACATGCCCCCCTGCACAGCCATTCATTGGAAAGATCAATACAAGTCTCCAGTCCCTGCCACCTAGTATGTAAAAGATAAAGGATACACACTAATGTGACAAAACCAATTTACCAAGTGTCTGTTTCTGCTGTCCCTGTTGAAGTCTTGCAATTTAAGTTAAGCTTTAAGCCAGTAGCCAACCATTTCTGCAGTTAAAAAAAACTCCAAACATCCTTTTCCGGGTTTTCAGTCTCTGCCCTTTACTGATCAGCTCCCCGAATCTACAGCACTCTTGCTCACAGTAATCTTTACCATGGCTATAAATCAAAGTTCTCAATATGCTGTTCCTTATCCTATTGTTTGGACCTATTATCCCAAAACTATGGGCTTTGCAACCCAGCACCTCTAGCTTGCTGTGAACACAGTTTATACCATCATAATCTTCTCCTCTACATACATACAGTATGTATTCCCAGAAGCGGGCCCAAGAACATCAAAATTGCAAGAGATTACTTACATTATTATGCCCCTGGCTCTCCTGCTAATATTCTGCTTCTCTACTCTCGGGCTGAGAGTCTGTTTCCTAAATCACCCACTGATGTTCTTCCCCCCCAACTCACATGGCAAAATTCTACACTACGTGTTGAGAATCAGCTGCACCTCAGCTACCCTACAGATATTCTGCACCTGATTCTACCCACTGTGACCCTACCCACTGATACTCTTTCTGTGACCCTGCACATCCATCTATGTGCACCTTAAGAGGTTGTTTAGCCTGGTACTCAGCCAACTGGTACCTCAACCCTGAATACTCCTATTAATGTCTTGGCCTATCTCTATTTCTAGTGTGTATGATGTCATACCTCATTTTACCCACCTGCACGAGGATTAAGCTTCTACTTGCCAACCCTGTATTATATTAGCCATGCTGGTAACTACTCCATTTGATCCTCTATTCTTCACATTCACTTACAGTATCTGCCTATTTGTAGTTGCCAATGGGGAAAAAAAACCTAGGATGTTTCATGCAGCGTAGTTCATCTTCATACCAAAGGCAATGGCCCAGGGCAGATACTCCATAAACTTGTGGAAAGCCCATTCATGTCATTGGTAACTGGACTACTCTTACCAAGCCCTGTTCTGTTTCTCCATTACTGGATACATTACTGTCATCACATTTCAGTGCTATACCAATCTCATTGTTAAGCAATATAATGCTTTAAAGTGACCTGAACCCAAAAAGTGAAGATTTGCGATGTTATAGGAAACATTTAGAAATGGTAGTTGTGCCTGAACAGTACCCTGAAAATGTCACCATTTGTCTTGAATTCTACCTGAATAAAGGCAGTACACTCAATGGTATGACAGAACACCTAGGTATTCCCTATGGTCTCATAAGTGTATATCTGTAAAGTTAAATCTAAGCCACTGCTGCCTCTGACTACTAGTCCCAGGAGATTAGGAGTGAGATTTGGTCATGGCACTATTATGCTGCTCACGGTTACCTTTGAAAGCAAACCCCTACCTGTACCAAGATTGCTACCTCCTCACAGAGACACTGGTGTTGATTTACTAAAGGCAAATAGGCTGTTCACTTTGCAAGGAAGCTGCACTCTGCATCCCCAGAGCTTAGTGAATGAGGTGAAGCTCTGATGACTGCCGGCATCTAACCATGTGCTAGCAAAAATGCTGTTTTTTTCTTATTTTCCTTGACCGCAACTGGGTATTCTGTTTAAAGAGAAAAGCTCTGGGGAAAATGCTCTGAAAAAAAGTGCAATTTTCCTCGCAAAGTAAACAGATTATTTGCCTTTAACCTCACATTGCAGAGCAAAGCTTGATAAGTCAGTAACAGGAAAAGGTACTGTAAGGTGCAGGGAGATCATGGGCAACTTTGGAGACTAGTCGTTTGCCCCCTGCCTAATTTATTTTGAGCACAGATTCCAGACATAAAATTTGCCCAGAAAGTATTTGTAATATTCGACAAAAATAAACATGAAAGCCATATATAACTGGACACGTGCACAGAAATCTTGTGCTTGTGTATGTGCTTGTTAGATAGTTATGGAAGACATAAAGACTTTTGTATGAAATTGTTAAGGCTTTCACCACCTCAGGATGATGCCAAATGCATGTCTTACAACACTATATTCTATCGAAACTCTGGATACCATTATGTAAACACTCCAGCATAAGTGGATGATCACTAAAATTTCATAAAAGAGTTGAAGTTCTGTTCCTACATCCCCCCACTCTCATCCCTACAAGCTGTACCCCTTTGATAAAGTAGCTTTTTATGCCAGTTTCAGATAGCTATGCTGCCACATTTCATATGCAGAAAAAGTATATAAACTGTTGTGTTTCCTTCACACATAAGGAAAGGACAGTTTATGTAATTAACACACTGTTATCACTTGTTGTAGGTAAGTACAGGAATGTGGTATTTTCCTGTGCTGTCATGAGTTTATAAAAAATGAGTCTGTACATAAAATATAGTTTCTAATGCAACATGGCAGTGACAATGGTGCTGACATTTATTACCATTCTCTCACAGAATCTCAGAACACATTTGATATGATGCAAACATAGAAAAACTTTTTCAGAATTGCAATTTTTACCTTGGTTTTGGGGGCAAAAATAGGTAAAATGATGAACAGCAAAGAAATGCTTGGCCTCTCTACATCCCCTGGTTTGTTTACCTGCAACAGTTTATCCTTTCTCTGAGTCAGGCTGAATGTTATTCATGAGGACCCAGCCTGACACTGAGCCCGCCTCCACGTATCCTATCTGCACAATAGGGGCAGGTGGCAGTCATGGCTTCGTTAGCCAGCACATGTAAGAAACTCCAGGACACATACAGGCCAAGTACTTCTGATACTCTTCAAACAGGTACAGTTAATCATTACTAATTTCATGAATATGATGTAACTATAATATATGGCCAAGTTTTAAAAAATGTATTTAAAAACAGACATTTTCACCTTCATTTTAGAGCAAGGCTCACCCATTTAGTAATGATATATGGTGTTACATCCTGGAGTGAATGCTGGCAATTTTTGTTTTTTTTCTGTAATTGACATGGCCAGTTTCATGCATTTCTGGACATTGAGAACTTTGGAAATTAAGCATGCCCCTTAAAAAAATTGGTTGTGTGCAGCAGGCCGCACTAAAATGCATGTAAAACATGCATGCAGTAGCATTGATTAAAATGTAAAGTAAATTTGCTATAAACTGCCATCAATCTTTAACCACAGTATGATATACTGTATGTGGCATATGTATTTTATATGACATGTATTTTATGATTTTCTGCAGTTGTCCTGTGACAGTACACAAAAAAATATTTAAAATATACACTTACTATACAAGAAATACATAGCTGAATATTTGTAATAAGATAAAGCACAGCCTCACTGTGCAAAGTGCAGCAACCCATAGTAACCAACATTTCTATTTAGAACAGTCAGATCAGTTGATGTAGATTGCTGAGTGGATGCTATATGTTACTGCACATTGTAATTTGGCTTTAGTCTAAACATCAGTTCTTCTACATTTAAGGGAAAAAAAAGTGATATATCACTATATTTTCTGTGCAGTAGTTCTTTTTTCAATGGGTGTTCACAGAGAGCAGGGTTAAAGGGCTAATGCACTAGCTACATACAACTGCATATTAAGTTAAGGCTTATTTATGGATGGAGGCAGGGGTCAGCACTTTTGTTAGGATTCCAGCTGTGTCAGGCAGTGGGGAGGCTCCCATGTCTCTTTTGATTCTGATTGGCCATTTCCCAGGTTGTAATAAGCCAGGCACACTCCAAGCAAGACTGATAAGATAAAGTGTGTCGGGAGGGGGCACACGCTTTGAATTGATCAGCATTGTCTATGGTTGTATATATAAGGCTGTAAGGCAGTCGTGTGCCTGTTGCACATCTTCCACACACCTTACCTCTCTTCAGAAGCAACTGTTCTCTGGAACCACAGAGGACCAGTACAGATAGGCTTCACCTCTGCTGCTGCCTGAACCTTTTCCTTCATCCTGTTTATCCTGCAGCCAGCACATCTTGGAAATCTACAGCCTGGCAATATAGGTAGGTAATGTACAGTTATAGGCACACACACACACACACATATATATATATATATATATATATATATATATATATACACACACACACATACATTAGTTTTCTGTGTGCTGTACTACATTATAGTGCATGGCAATACTGATAAACATTTTTAATAGGGTTATGCAAACAGTAATAGTGATATGGAAGTGTGATAACACATTTATTTCAAATCTCAAAGTGTTTTGTTCATAGTGATGCAACGCAAATTCTTACTGGTTGCTATGCCTTGTTACCTACAGCCTTCTTTTATCTGGCTCTTCAGTAAATGTTAATATTCTTGATGTTTTGATTAAAATAGTTACTTTTTTCAATTTACAGGATGTCCCCTAAAACCGAAAGCATCCAACGCAGAAGTGAAAGAGACCTTTACTATGATGTCTCTGAGGATGAGGACCCTTCCTGTTCCATGCCATGTTCTCCTGCCCCTTCAGCTACCAGTGAAGGCTGCCCAATGGGAGAAGGTTTTCCTTTTGCTAACGCTAGGGAGCCCCTTTGCAAAAAGCAAAAGGGGAAAAGAACCAGATTCCAGGCCAAGAGCGATTTGACAGTTATCAAACAGAAGAAGAATCGCAGAATCAAAGCTAATGACAGAGAAAGGAACCGCATGCACAACCTAAACTCAGCCTTGGATGCGCTGAGGAATGTTCTGCCAACCTTCCCCGATGATGCCAAGCTGACCAAGATTGAGACTCTGAGATTTGCTCATAATTATATCTGGGCTTTATCTGAGACTCTGCGCATGGCTGAACCTGGCATCTATAACCTAGCACACCAGGACATGAGAGAAACATTGGACAAGTTACCTAAATCTTGCTTTATGGACCTGACAAGCCCTAACAGCAACTGCAGTTCCTCCAGTGACTGGGAGTCTCTCTATTCCCCATTGTCTCAGAGTGACAGTCACAGTCCCACACACTCCATGGATGATTTTATCTCCCAGCCTCTGCCTTGTGCAAGACACTCCACTTCCTTTTCAGAGTTTTTATAATGAGTGTCACTGTCCCTCCTTTTCCCCCTTTCACTCTTCTCATTTTGCAGCCCAGAGCAGAGATCAGCATACTGGGCTCACTGTACAATATCATGCGCTATATACCTTTGTGTCACAGACAAGTTTTCATGCCTTTTCACTATAATTCTTTATATTCTATATGTTGTCCTTTGAATCTTATCCCCTCTTGACACTCAGTTGAACAGATAAGATGATTTCTTGCACTTTTTCTGTAAGTCCACATATCTGAAAATTTAGCTCTTATAATTAAAACATTTATTTTCTTAATTATTGTAAAAATGTAATATTGATAATAGTATACTCTGCAATAGGCTGTTTTTCAAGCTACCCACTGTGTGTTTTAAATTATATATCTTTTTCTAATCTGTGTATTTATTGATTGCGTTAATTTGTCCAAATATATAAATATTGTAAAGAAAAATTTTACATGAAGTTGAATTACTGTACAGTACTGTATGATTGCAATAAACTATTCTTTAGATATTTTACAATAAATGTTGCCTTGTATGTGCATGCATTTGGTGTGTGTGTGTGTGTGTGTGTGTGAATGCATGCTTCTACAATGAATATGTGACTAATCTATCACAACAAGAACATTTCTAATTTTAAAATTCCATTGAACTTGATAGAAACAAGAATACCCTCAGCCTGAGGGGACTATTGTAGGAACATAATCCATGAAAACTCAATATAAAAGACCTACAAAAGCTTTATTACAATATAATAAAATTAATAACAATGAGACATATGAATGCGATGATATCAATTGTGCATACGTTTCACAGCAATAGTCGTATGTAATATCCTTGGCTATAAGAAGTAATATCCTTGGCCAATTTATGGCCAAGGATGTTACTTATGACTACGGCTGTGAAACGTATGCACAATTGATGCAGCCACATTCATATCTCTCATTGTTATTATTTGTATGATATTGCAATAGAGCTTTTGTCATTTTTTTTTATAATATCAGTGCTTATGGATCATGTGCCTAAAATAGTCCCCATGAGCAAGAGGGTATTTTTTTTTATATGTAATTTTGGGATGATGGCACCCCTATAGCACTATAGCATAGCTTTATATTAAACTTGATAGAGACTTGGATAGAAGCACAGATTTAACAGACTATCTTTTAATATATTCCTATATAAAAATAAAAAAATCATACTATTTAATGTAAGGTAATATGACTAAGTAAAGTCTAGGTTTGCAAGTCAGAAGTAAAAAATATTATCTCTGCTCTTTGTATGGAGATTGCATGTCTTCTATATTTTATTGGTTTTATCTGGCCTGAATTGAAACTGCCATGCTAATTTCTACCTGCTAAAAAATGTGCCTTGGTGTGTTATGCATTCTTATGATGTGGATATTATACATCAACTCTAATGCAACCAGGACTGATTGGAGAAACTGAACAAGCTCACTGTAAAGGAATAATAATTGTAAATAATAGTGTTTATAACTGCTTTTCATACATCTTTATAGGTATATAAAAAGTATATATAAAGTCTGGTTATATTAAAAAGGCACTGCCTAGGTAATGATCTAAAGGAAATGTGTTGCAAGCTTTTTAAAGTGAGTTAGTAATTAATTTATAGTTATTAAACAAATATACATTTTTATTATGCCAACTGAATAGATACAAAAAGAAATAGCATATTCCAGCAATTAAAACCCAGATGGAGAAAGGAAGTAAACAATCAAATACTTTTACTTCTGAAGATATAATCTGGTGCAATAAGATTAATGGTTTCTTGGTAGCTGGCTGCAAGTTTCCTGTTCTTCTGTGCCATGGGTATGTACTCAGCTATGCACCTGGCAAGCCCTACAACTCTGACTCACCTCACAAATAGAGCCATGCATGATGGACACTACAGGTGCCAAGTACATTACCGATTACTGACAGGTAGAAAAAAATATATAAATAACACACATATATGTTCTATGCAATGTACGTTTTCTGTTGCAATAGTATGCAAAGATTTGCAAGATTAGTAACAGTTTTATGCTCAGACTTACTCCAATCTGTCATACTAATGGGGTTATTTACTAAAACTGGAGCATGCAAAATCTGGTGCACCTCTGAATAGAAATCATTCAGCTCCCAGGCTTTATTGCCAAAGCTTAATTGAACAAGTTGAAATTAGAAGCTGATTGGTTACAATGCACAGATGCACCCAATTCTGAGTGAACCAATTTTAGTAAATCCCCCTCAAACTGTCTTTTATTGCACATTCTATCATCTTTTTTGTTATCTTTTATTTGTCCTTCTATTATGCATATCTATGATATGTTTTTTCTCTATCATCAACATTATACTGCTCTACTTACTTTTTCTCCTGTCTATCATACAGCTTGATTTCCTCTCTGATCGCAACTTGAGTGACATGATTGCATTGCTTTAATGGTGTGACACAGGAAGTCAGGTCCACAGAAGGTTTTCAATTGACAGGCTCAGTCTTTATTGAGGGAATCGACACAGAAACACACACTCTTGAGTCATGATACTCTATCTCAATTTTATCTATAATTATATAGTTTAATATTTTTTCATAAAGTATCACTTTTGTTCACAAAGTCATAGGTGAATAAAGCACAGGTTACAGTGAAAGATATACATAAACCGGGTTCCTTGGTATTAAATTTGTGAAAGCAGCCCAGTCCAAACTTGGAAACTACGCTTACATTACAACTTACAGCAGCCAAGAAGTAATAAACTGGTGTTTATAGGAAAACTAAGCCCAAACCTTGGACTTCAATGCTTGTGTGAATGCAGATAAACCTTTCACTGAATCAATTTGTAGTAGTTAGATTTATCTCTTCTCCCTTTCACTGCAGCTTCCAAAGAGAAGCATTCTCTCACTGCCCCCATTGCAATGTGTCTTCATGACAAAGAGATGCTTATGGGCCAAATGGTCATTGTCATGCTAATAATTGTCAGCTGAATTCAGTTAACAGAAGAAAAAGGGTGCTGTTGAGGCAATTTGTAAAACAAAAGAAATTTGGCTCTTCAACACACTGTGGTCAACATATCCACACAAACAGATCAAATGTGCACTTTCAAGGACTATTTACTGTCCTTTATCAACCAGTTCTTGTTTCAACTAATGGATATGTCACTAATTTTGATGCTTATGTGACTATCATGAAGGTTACAATATCTTTCAGAGTTTTCAAGGTGGGACTCCAAAGAAATGTCTTCCATAAGTGAAAACATCATCTCATATGAGGTAAATATCAACAGTTTGTTTTAGCTTTCAGCAATAGGTGAGATTTGGCTGACTACACACACTCATTTTATATTGTAATCTTTACCTGAACGTTAGACAGTAGCTATTAACGTTAGTATGCTAAGTGAACAGAAGGTGGCAATTAAAGTTTCTTCCATTGGCGCAGGATAGATTACAACATTGATGTGTTTAGAACATGAAGTTCAAAATTATTATTCTAATGCTTAAAATGTATGTATATCCAAATATTTTTTTAATTTGGATAGCGTATGGATGCATTAGTGTTTTTGAATCGAGTATTTATTGCAGCCTGTGCCCCTGATAGATTTACCCTCTCCATTTGTCCTGGTGACAGTTATCACTGAGACAGAATGTGATGGAAAATATAAAAATGTACAGCTTATATCACACACCATGGGGACACCTGTTCCAGTTAAGCTCACTGCACATGTTGCAGTCTTAATAAACACTATTCTTTAGGTCTTCCTATAATTATACAGTGCAGGGACTTGTCAAACTGGATACAAAGTTGGAAATTTTGTAACTTCTATGCTATGCTTTAGGGCAGCAATGGGCAAACTACGGCCCGGCGGACCTTTTAATCCGGCCCGTGGAGCTAGGCTCCCGCTAGGCTCCTCTCACAGTCCGCCCTGAAGACCGGTGTAGCATGAAAATCTGTCTCCTATGAGGATCTGTCCCCCTCGACGTATCTGCGCATGTGCCGGAGATTGCCAATCGGCTGCTAATGCCTGAAACTGGCACATGCGCAGATACGTCGAGGGGGACAGATCCTCATAGGAGACAGATTTTCATGCTACACCGGAACGGTGCGGGAACACGACGAGAGGAACGCGTGGAGCAAAGGTAAGTGAATTGACACAGGGGGGACTTGGGGACTTAATATGGGGGATGAATTAATATGGGGAATGAATTACTATATGGGGGATGAATTACTATGGAGGATGAATTACTATATGGGGGATGAATTACTATGAGGGATGAATTACTATGGGGAATGAATTACTATATGGGGGATGAATTACTATGGGGGATGAATTACTATATGGGGGATGAATTACTATGGGGGATGAATTACTATGGGTAATGAATTACTATATGGGGGATGAATTTATATGGGGGATGAATTACTATATGGGGGATGAATTACTATATGGGGGATGAATTACTATGGGGAATGAATTACTATATGGGGAATGAATTACTATATGGGGGATGAATTACTATATGGGGGATTAATTACTATGGGGGATGAATTACTATATGGGGGATGAATTCATATGGGGGATTAATTAATATGGGGAATGAATTACTATATGGGGGATGAATTACTACTATGGGGGATGAATTACTATGGGGGATGAATTACTATATGGGGGATGAATTACTATATGGGGAATTAATTACTATGCTTACTATGGGGGAATATTACTATACTTACTATGGATGACATACACATCATTCATCTACTCTTGGTCCGGCCCCCGGGTTCAATATATGAACCCATTGCGGCCCTCAAGTCAAAAAGTTTGCCCACCCCTGCTTTAGGGTCTCAACAGCTCTGCTAAGATAAAAGCCCATCTATATGACAGACTATTGCTTTCAACCAGTCAAATCAATAGACTTGTAATGGAAGAAATAAAGAGTAAAGTACAATTACAGTACAGTACTGCTAATTCAAAGGGACACCATTTCGATGTAATGAGCAAATATAAATGCCACAATGTACAT